TAATTAAAAGTAAAAATAGAAATATTTGTAAAACCAAAAACCCCTTAAGAATTGGCCTTTAGAGGGTGGCAATTGCTTAAATTCTACTCTTAAAAAGTTCTGAATCACACAAATTATTTTATAATTAATTTGAAGTATTGTATAATATGAAACTTACAAAAAGAAAAAAGAAAGAAAGAAACAAAGCAAAACATAAATGAAGATAAAGAAGGGGATTGACAATGGAATGATTCTGAATTTCTATGAGAAAGTCATGCATGTAAATGCTGGGCGATTGAAGAAAGTGTACATAGGGTTACGATTTCATGAGCAATTCTTATTCCTTTTTAGGTCCTAATTAATCTTCTTAATATATGATTCTAATAATTAATAATTAATTTTAATATTTAAATTATTAAATATTTTTCATTTAATTTTTATTTTACTAAGTGTTATAATAGTATTTTACATAGACATATCACAATTAAGTTTATAATTACTTACAAGCATTTGTGAAAAATATAGAAACAAATTATTGTGTTATAATTTTCACACATTTAAAGATAAATAATAAAAATAATATCATCCATTTAAGGATTTAAAGATAAAGATTTAATTTTTTAAAAGTGAAAAAGTATATAAAATAAAAAATGCGAGTAACTCTTGATTTAAAGTCATGAATTAAGTTTTGAAACCACTTTAATCCAAATATAAAGTGACACATTCAAACTTTATTACTTTATACAGGAGACACATTCAATATTAAAAAGTTATAAATAATTGGCGCTCTTATGTTCAATTGTGCATAAGCTTTTTTGTCACTCTCATTATATATGTAATTAGAATTTTAAAGTATCATCTTGTTAATATATTAACAAGTTTTTTTAAAATATAAATTAATAAATATGCAGTGCTGGTCAATATACTTGTTAAAATTGAAACAATATTTGGAGTGAAAAAAAATTGAATAATAGTCAATGAAGCAACAAAAAGTGAGCGCCCACCATACCTAAAAGTTGCACTTCTGACCTAACAGATAAAAAAGAAAAGGGAATAGAAAGGGAGAGGAGGGTGGTAGTGGTGGAATTGAATGGCATTGAGAGTCTAATTAATTACCACTACTTATTGGTTGTGATCATAGAACCTGGAAAGCTACATATGAGTGAGTTCATCACTTGTTAAGAAGCTAGCCCTCATGAGAGCAACAGTACAAAGAGACAAGGGTCCCAAATTCCATAAAAATGCCCTTTATTTCATCTTCCTGTTCTCAATCAAGTAGTTCTTATTCTTTCTACATAAGTAACATGGCTTGAAGAATTTTATGTGGTTATCAATGTACAAGAAGAGTCTACAGTTAATGGAATCTGCATTGCGTGTGTTTGTACAAAAGAATTAGATAGAAAACTGTGTCATTGTCATGTATTCAATTGGCATCAGTTGATTTTTAACTTTCAAGTCCATTAATTTTAAAAGCTTTTTGTTAGATTAAAGCTGTATTTAAACAGGTTTTTTGAGAAAAAAATTTCTTGTAATGACTATTTTTAGATTTATTTTAGTTTCTGATAAAAACACCAAAATAGTTTATTATTTTTAACTTTAATTTTTTCTTAAAAATATATAACATAATAAAATTTCGATTATATTTATTAAAAATTATATTTCTTTGACAAGTAGAGATTGATTTTCAAATTTAATGTAAAAAACTAACGAGTTAAGTTAGATTTTTGGTTCTAATACTGTGAATGATAAATAATTTTGTTGGGAGAACTTATCCTATCATGATGTGGATGTCTTTTGCTGGATTAGACTTAATCTTTCTTGCAGAAAATATATGCAATCTAAACAAAAATTCAATTTAGGAGATGCTTTCTACAGAATTTACATGACTTACAATCTAAGGAGATGAGTACGTGGGACTCAAAATTAACCACATCTTAATTACATGGTATTTGTTTGAAGAAAAATAGAGAAGAAGAGATGGATTTCTAAAATAATTTCATGTTTAGTTCAAAATATTGAAAGGAAGAGTAGATGAGACTAAATTTTTTCTCACTTAATTTTATCTCCCTTATGAAATTAGAAAAATTTGAAGGAAAACACTTTTAGATTAATTAAAAAAAATTATTATTATTTTAATAACTTCAATTAAGTATTTTCAATATAATAATCAATTTATTTAATTTTCTTCCTCTATCCTCTTCTTGCAGATCCAATAAAGTGTCTCTTTCCTTTATTGAAACATTTTTTCTTTTCTCCTCTTACCCCAATTTCATCGCTTTCATGAAAATTATTTTCGCACTTCTTCCGAATTAAATAATGCATCAGATTTAGTATAATGGATATAAGATATTTGAAAAAAAAAAAAAACAAAGTATGAAAAGGAACTTAACCTATGGAATGGGACTCTTTTAGGAACTTAACCTGTAGAAATGGAACTCTTTGGAAAAAGCTTTCCCAATTTTTGGAGGGAATAAGGTTGTAAATAGACAACATGATGTTACTAGATTGTGGTCACTCTTGGTCATGGGAAGGAACCTTGGCTGGTATTGCACTTTGTAATGTCCTACACGTACAATTAATCTCCCTTTACATTCACACATGCACCACCTCACACAGTTATGTATTCTTTTCAAAATTCGAACCTTCAAAAGCACACTAATAACTCGTCCTTATCCAACTTTGTATTTCTAGCAAACCCTTTCATTACAGAGAACGAATGAAAAGCAGCTTTCATCATTTATCATATGTATTTTTCTTCTTTTGGTGAATTATATGCGAAGTATGACGTGAATTTATACTCAAGAACAATAACTATACCTCAAAAGAACAACAAAGAACAGTAACTAGCCCAGAGTTTGTTTATTAACATGAAAAGTGTTATGGAAAAATGTTACCCATCCAAAATTAAGTAAAAAAATGAAAGTGATTGTAAATTAATGGTTCTTGGATGGATTTTAGTTTTAATTTGACGTTGAACTATTCAAAAGGTTGGCAGCTTGATTAATTTAATTTTTAAAAATAATTTATTTTAATTTGACCTTATTTTAAATTATTTTAAAATAATTAGATAAGTCTTTATATTTGTAATTAAAGTTACATTTAGAAACATAATTTAATTAAATATTTATTTAATAAAAATTTAATATATAAATATTTATGTTATTTATTTGACCGTAATTTTTTATTTTAATAAATTATACTGAAATATTTATTAAAATAAATTAAAAAATATTTTTACAAGTTGGTATGTTCAATAAATAGATTTTTTAACTTTTATCTAGTACATAAAATTTATAGAAAATGTGTCGATCTCTACGTTAAAACTATATAAAATCGAATACTATACTAAAAAAAAAAAGTTAACTCATTTAAAAAATTTAACTAGAAAAAAATTATCCAAATCTAACTTGAGTTGTATATTTTAATTCCAATCACTCAGTAAACACACACACACACATATATATATATATTAAAAAGTGTTTTTTAATTTAAAAACAAAATACATGCAAACTAGGCTAGGCTAGTCATGGAGCGATACCAATGCATATAAAGGTGCCTCAATGAAAACGAAAAGAAATCTGTTTCCAAATTTGGACTATTTGTAATATTTTTTATTTTTTTTTGTGCATGGACCATGTACCTTGTATGGGTTATTATTGAAACAAATATTTCAGAACAAAAATATTTTAAAAATCAAAAGTTTCAAATCGCATATAATGTTTTTGTATTTTTTTTTTAGGGAAAAATATTCAATCACAAAAGTAGGAATGAACCAAAAACTCATTTGTTTCATTAGAAAAACTTTTTTTTCATACTAGTAATTTTTTTTTCACTACACAGGACCATTCGGTCACATCACATTTATATTTTTAATTAAATTTCATAAAATTTAATAATATATTTTTCAATTATTTTTAAAATTAATTTTTTTAAAAATATTTAATTTATAAAAAAATTATTTTAAGTTTTAAAATTATATTTAAACAAATGTATTGTGTAAATAATTCATATTCTTTAAATGTATCATCTTGAGTTTCATGATTTATATATATGTGCAGTTTCTTTATGCCTGACTTTAAGAAATTAGTCTCCTTATATAATGAGAGAGAGAGAGAGAGATTTGGTAATATATACCTACTTGATTTTTTAAAAAACGTTATGTTATAATTATGATTTTTTAAAATATATATTAATGTAACTTGCTAGTATATTTCTCTTAGAAATAAGTTAATGTATATCAACATTTTTATGTCTTTTAATGTATACTCATTTTAAAAGAGTGCTAAAAAATTATAATTTGATTTTTTTAATAATAAATCTAATGTAAATTTAGAGTTTTTTTTTTTAATATCATTAGGTATCAATCTAAAAGATTGAATGAATAAGAAAAAAAATAACGAATCCAACATCAAGTGATCCAATAGGTAAAAACATTAACAAGGAATATGATCTGAAAAATGAAAGCTTGAAGGAGCAAGAAATATATATGTATTAAATAATTAAATATTCTAATAAAGTAAACCAATAGATTTTGTATCTCATGTAATGATGTTAATCGTTCGGTGCAGATAAAGATAGGTAAAAGAATATGAGAGGAGGTCCGCGTAGTATTAGCTAATGTTACTTAAACTGTAGAAAAAAATTGACTTCCTTAACATAAAGACGTGAACTTGTGTTATTTTTGTATTAAAAATGCATTGATGTAAAACAGGTTAGCTAATTAATAGGGATTAAATCTCAATTTTCAAAACGACAAAAATAGAGATGATATGAAAGCAGACAGGGGTCATATTTGGTCATAGGATCACATGAAACACCACATATGACTTTTCAATATATAATTTTATAATAATAAAAAGAAACTTTGCTGATTTTGTAGATAACAACTCGAAATTCGAAAAGATAAGAATTAACAAAGAGAAAAATGGATGAAGCGTTAAGGGACGAGACAGCGACGAGGTGCAATAGCACTAACAAGGAATATAAATACGATAGCTACATAATAGGATGAAAATAGATCCTCATACGTAACCCCAACCATCTTCCATATTCTCATCCTAAACCCACACACACACGCGCAAGCACTTTCCCTATCGTGTTAATGGCACAACAACACCAACCACCACCCCTAAGCCCAAAACTCTCACTCCCGGCTCGGCTCAACTCCTTCATGGCTCAAAGCCGACTCGGCAAGCACTTCAAGCTCGCCGACCGCAACACCACCTTCACCACCGAGCTCCGTGCCGGCACCGCCACGTTCCTCACCATGGCCTACATCCTCGCCGTCAACGCCACCATCATCGCCGACTCCGGCGGAACCTGCGGCGTCTCCGACTGCATTCCCCTCTGCTCCGACCCCCAAACCCCTCTTTCCCAATGCCCGACCCACCAACTCACCCGACCGGACGAGTCATGCAAGTACCCGCCCGTGAACCCGGGCTATTCGGCGTGCGTGGAGAGAACGCGCCGAGACCTCATCGTTGCCACCGTGGCATCCTCCCTCATAGGGTGCACCATAATGGGCGTGTTCGCGAACCTTCCTTTAGCCTTGGCTCCGGGTATGGGTGCCAACGCTTATTTCGCTTACTCGGTTGTCGGGTTTCACGGGTCGGGCACCGTACCCTATAGAACAGCTTTAACGGCTATTTTCTTAGAAGGCTTAATTTTCCTCTTTATTTCAGCCGTTGGGTTTCGCGCCAAACTCGCGAAACTCGTTCCCAAACCCGTCCGAGTTTCCTCTTCTGCTGGAATCGGTCTCTTCTTAGCCTTCATTGGGCTTCAAAGCAACGAAGGAATTGGGCTCATCGGGTACAGCCCATCAACGCTGGTCACACTCGGAGGCTGTCCAAGGAAAGATCTAACGGCGTTAGCTCCAGTATTAACGACGGTTAACGGAACCATTAGTTTAATCCCTGGTGGCTCTGTTTCTGAGAAGATACTCTGCTTGAGGAACCGCATGGAGAGTCCAACTTTATGGGTCGGTTTGGTTGGGTTTGTCATCATTGCGTATTGCTTGATGAAAAACATTAAGGGGGCTATGATATACGGCATCGTTTTTGTCACTGTGATTTCCTGGTTTCGGAACACGCCTGTTACGGTGTTCCCTAATACCGAATTGGGTGACGCGGGGTACCGCTATTTTAAAAAGGTGGTGGACGTGCACGTGATTAAGAGCACTGCTGGTGCGTTGAGTTTTAAGGGTATTATGGGCAAAGCAGCATTTTGGGAGGCTTTGTTCACGTTTCTCTACGTTGATATATTGGACACAACGGGCACGTTATATTCAATGGCTAGATTTGCGGGGTTTCTTGATATCAACGGTGATTTCGAGGGTCAATATTTTGCTTTCATGGCTGACGCGTCATCAATTGTGGTGGGGTCACTTTTGGGCACGTCACCCGTAACGGCGTTTATTGAATCGTCAACGGGGATTCGCGAAGGTGGACGGACGGGACTGACGGCGTTAACCGTGGCAGGGTATTTTTTCTTGGCTTTCTTTTTCACGCCGTTATTGGCGTCGATTCCACCGTGGGCCGTTGGGCCACCGTTGATCCTGGTGGGGGTGATGATGATGAGATGTGTGGTGGAGATTAATTGGGATGACATGAGGGAGGCTATACCTGCATTTGTGACCATTTTGTTGATGCCTTTAACGTACTCTATAGCTTATGGATTAATAGGGGGAATTGGAACGTACCTTGTGTTGCATGTTTGGGAGTGGGGGGAGGAGTTGGTGAGAAAACTTGTGGTTAAGAGGGATTTGAAGGATGTGTCTAATGCAAATGTACATGCAAATAATCGTGTTGTTGATCATGATCAAAGGGATCATAAAGCACTTGAGGTGTAGACACCGTAACTCTGCTAATCGTATGCTTTTTAGAAGCATTGTGATACCTTCTTTTTCGTATAAATATTGGCGGGAAAAGCCCATGATAGGGAACTAGTGAGATTTGTTTAAATTTTAGATTATTCACAATGAAAAGGATATATAATTACTGGGGTCTTCTGTGTTCATCCTTGGGCACACAGATATGGGTGCAGGGCTCCAAATATTTCATGCCATAAAATAGCAGTGGCTTTCAATACGAAAAATATTCTGCGAAAATATCAACAGATGGGATTGTTTACTTGGCCTTGTTTGTTTCTGTGTGCATGCTTATAGAATTTTTTACTTCTTATCGAGAATTTAATCCAAACTAGCTAGACAATAACCTCATCCTCGTAGTACGCAATTAAATTAGCTAGCTGTTATAGTTTATCTCAATATATAACTACTGTGAGCTTCCAATGTGACCATCGATTTTATCTCAATATCAAAAGTTAACTTTTCGATAACTGATTACATTTTCTGTTTTATATTTCAACTGCAAAACAATATCGCTATAGTCAATAATTTGTGTGCTTAAGTTGTCCAAAAACAAACAACCTCCATCCTTGCCTCATGAGAAGAATATTGCTTCTCCTTTACATGCATTTCCTCTCCATTCACCCTCTAACCATTGCTATGCTCGTCTATTTTTGTTGGATATAGTGATATACATATATCAACAAAAACAAAAGTGAACTTAGATTTGCAAATTGTCACTAAAGCATTGTTACTAAAATTATTGGTGTTTTGTCTTGTACAAGAAAAGGTGCATTTAGTGGGGAGAAAGAGAATTTAAATTTAGAATTTTTAAATGTAATTTTTCTTTTGTTTTAATGACTGAATATAAAATAACTTGTTATATTAATAAATATATATTACCCTTATTCACTCTGCACACTCACACAGAGATGGCCCTTCTCTCTCTCTTTTCCAGGATATTGGTTTATTAATTTCCATGTATTGCCTTGTTTTGTGAATGGTGAGTTGTCTCATATTATGGTCAGTTTGATTATTTATATGTGAACTGTGAAGAAGGCAGGTATTTGAAGAGGGATTAAGGAAACTTCGATGATTGATTCGATGGAATAAGATAAAGTTTAGTCTTATTATATTGTAAATTTAAGTCTGCATTCATTTCTTTGGAAAGTAAAGTCAATCTTATCATTTATAAGTCTTTGAATTCAGAGATTTTTTTTTTGTCTCAAATAGGACACTACCCCCTTTACTTTAAAATGTTTATATATAAAAATTAGAATTTAAGACTCTTTAATGTTGGCACATAATTAGTAAATAATTCTAAATTATTATCTTATTGATTTCTTACCATTTCGTGTATTACATAAATTGAATAATCCTCGTAAATATTAAACTGTGACAAACTGGGTACGCTTTTCCATATTTTCAATGTTAAATTAGTGTATTTTCCTTTCTCGATTCTTCACTACATAATTCCTAATAACAACAGAATTATAAAGTTAAATAAATTAATTAATGTTATTTTTTAAAATATCTAATATTACTCAATCGCCAACAGGCTGCAAATCACTACTTTTCTATATACTAGCTAGCTAGTTAAAATAGGGCACTGGTATTTTTTCTATCTCGTGTATTTAGAGGAGATAAACATTAGACCTAGTTTTTTTTTTCCTTTCTTTCTTTGGTCAAAATAGAGCTACAAGTATTAACTGGGAATACTTATCAGGAGCATTATTATTTTATTTTTTTTATCAATCACAAGCACAAGTTGATTCATTAATATTTGCTTGCGAGTTGCCAAGGTCTCAAATTCAATTGCATTTCTTATTTTGGGTCTAACGAAGGTCTCAGATTTTTGGGAACCAAATCGGACTTTATAAACAAGATTTCCTGATCACTGCATTGATTAAACCAAAACTTCATGAGGCTTGGTTGATAACTTGATATTGTCTCATTGGCCTTGTGCCTTTTCATGAACAAACAAAAACCTTCATCGTTTCGTCTGTGAGGAATGGAAACACATAACTTTACAAGTAAGAAAATAAATAAATGTAATTTTAAATACCATTTCAGTCCTTAAAAAATTGTAATTTTTTATACAGATTTTAGTCTTTCAAATTTTTAATCTTATTTTTATCTGGTCTTTTTGCTAATATTTTATAACTTATTCTATTATTTATTTACATAAATATAAGAGTAAATTCATACAATTTAACTGAAAAATGACATGGATGAGATGTATTATTAACTATACCATAACATTCATATATCTTACTTTTGAAATTTTAGGCTATAAAATTAAAATTTTTAAAATATAAATGAAATAATGTTATATATATTATTATCTATATCAACTCTGTGTAATATTATACGAATTAAATTGAGTGTTATATAAGTAAATAATAAAATAATAATAATGTGAGAAAGAAAAAATTAGACTGCTTATTTGGAAAAAAAACAACAAAAGATCAAATAGTCACATATAATAAATTTTTAGAGACTAAATATTTATTTTAGTTCTATTTATAATTTTATATATTTCTGATTTTGTATGACTACAAATTATTTATATTTAAAAAATTAAACAATAAAATAATATTTCTTAACGATTATAAGTGCTATATATATTTCGGCTATAGAAGGAGTTTATTTTTTCTTAATAATTACCGTTAAAAATAGATAAATACACCTTAGCCGATATAATTCTTTTTATGCTAAGAAATTTTTTTGACATTGGAAGATTTACACATTAAAAAAAAATTATTTTCATTTCAGTTACTCTTTATTTGGTTGGATAGAAAGAGAATAAAAAGATTGAAATTCAAATTAAAAAATAGAAGAAAGTAATTATTTTTAAAATTTCAATATTTTATTTATTTATATGTTTATTCAATAAAAAAATATTTTTGTTATTTTTCTTTTTCCCTAACAAAATAAAACATTATTAAACACAAAACTTAGGTGTACTTTTCTTTTTTTAAAAAAAAATTCTATCCCAGCGCTTTCTTTGAGAATTATGCAGATGGACAGAGAGATAAATTATTAATTAATAATTTATTAAATAATGTTATTTTAATATTTAGTATATATTTTTAAAAATTGACTAAAATTTGATTATAAAATTATGTACCTCTAAATATTTAATATAAATAATTGACATAAATATATACATTTATTCAAGATTAAAAAAATTAATATTTATAAAAAAATATTAAATATATATGTTTTGAGATTTTTTTACTATTTTTTCTCAAGACTGCAATTTTTCTTTTAATATTATTTGAGTTCATTCACGTAGAATTGAACAGAATAATTTAACTTTGTTTTTGATAGATAATCACTCAAGTTAATTAAAAGATAACGGGCATTTAAACGTCATCATAACATTAAGATAAGATAACTTGCCTTATTAATTATTCGTTTAGATAGATGTAATAGAAATTTGCATTAAAAAAGTTATGTTGTACGATACTTTTAGAATAATTTTAAAAAATCAATTATATATAAAAGTAAAATAGTTTTTTAAAATAAAATTTATTGATATTTGGGAATGAATTAATTTTTGGAAATAAAATATATCAAAAGTTAAAGCAAAGGCATATTCAAATTTCAAAGAAATGCTTATGATTTGGTTAAAAGGAATGTTACAGTTAATTTTTTATTGATTATAATTAAATAATAAATATGCAACTTTTATAATTTTTAAATAATAATAACAAATATAATATAAATAATGTTACTAAGTTAGAAATGCAGTATCTTAAGAGAACTAAAAGAGGGCTCATAGTTTGGTTGTCACATCATTGATTGCACGCGTAAGAATGAGTGGCGCCGACGTGATTATTTCCATATGGAGGATCTTTACGTCTATTCTAATGATTGATTCTTCTTTTAAGTCATGTTTCGAAGAAATAACGAGGATTCGGATCTTTTATAATCATTTCATGCAAATTTACAAGTTTGTTTGATAAAAATATTATTATTTGACAGAGGAGTTCTAATAGATAATTATTAATATTATTTAAACATGACTTATATTAGTATTTTTTTTATATTAGTTATTAATTAAAAGTAATTTTATTATTTTAAGCAAATTTTCTTTAATTATTTAATTTTTAAATCATTTTTAAATTTTTTTATTCAACCTTTTAACTATACTATTTTTATTATTGTTTTAATATTGAATTATTTATTTAATTACTAAATTAATTATTTAAATCATTAATAAAACTTTGTTTATCTTTATATCGATATAAAAATCAAATTGTAAATCAAAATAAATTTTATTTATACAAATAATTAAAAATGATGAAATGAAGGTTGATGGAGCCATTTTCAAAGATGCCAGAACTGCTGCATGTGGTAGACTAATTAGGAATATTCAAAGCAAGTGCATAGTTAGATTCTAGGACTAATTAGAAATACTCAAAGCAAGTGCATAGTTAGATTCTACAATAAAATCAAACTCTATTTCCATGCAGTTGCAGAGCTTTGAAATTTATTCTTTGGTATCCAGTTGGTGATTCAACTTAACTTGCCATTTATTTGGATTAAGTTTGATTCAAAAAAAGCAATTTCTTTTGTTTTAAAAGCTTCATTCTGCCTCATATCTTTTATTTCATGTTATTTGTAAAATAAGGGATGTTTTGAAGTTGATTAAATTTGTGTGACTGTATTATATTTGATTCTTGTGCTTATTTCCTTATCAAATTAGGCTTAGATCTTTTTATCTCCTTTGTACCAGGCTTTGGATTCCTCAACCTCTCTTCTTCCCTCCCCAAGCTTTGACTCTCGTAACTCTAGTATTCTTAGACTACTTGTATAGTCCTATTTTAGTGGACTTTTAGTCCCTTTGATTAGCAAAATAAAAAATAAAAATTTTTACTTGATTAAATTAAATTTTTTATTAAAATTGTCTCATAAATAAAAATAAATATTACAACATTTATAATTTTAAAATTTTAGTAAATTATTAATATCTTGAAAATTTTTAAAGTTTTTTAATTTTTTAAATTTTTTATAATAAAATATTTATAAATAAGAATAAAATAAAAAATTTATCATCCTAATTTCATAATAATTTATTCTAAATAAATTAAAATATAGAAATTTTATTTTTAAATTATTACTAAATTTTAAATTGTATATTTATTCATAATATTTTTATTTCTTATTTTATATTTATCAAGTAACCTAACAACTAATTTTATCACATATTTTTAATTCAATCAACTAACTTTTTTAACTTTTAATTTTTAAATAATTTTTTTAATTTGATGAAACATTTATTACCCTTTTACCTCACAGTTTTGGATTGAGAAAAAATGAAAAAAATAAATTATTGAATAATTTATTTAAAAATAAAAGATAATATATATATATATATATATATATATATATATAAACGAATGATGGTAATATTTTATATATATTTTTATTATTAATTTAGTACAAAGTAGGATTGTGCATGAATTTAATTTATACAACTGATATAATGTTTTTAAAAAAATATTATATAAATTGAATTTTAAATTATTTTATTTTATTTTTTAAAATTGATTTAAAATTAAATTTAAAATTTAAAATTGATTTAAAATTAATTTTAAATTCATTTCATGCTTTTATTTAAAACAAATACTCAAATAAAAGCACTATGAAGGCGATAATGAAAAGTAAAATACCTAAATTAAATAAAAAATGGCATAAAATTGTCTTAATCTAACTATTCATAAGAGTTTTGGAAGAACTATAAACAAACAAAATATGATTTTATTAAATAGTTTCAAAATAAATCTGAAAAAAAAAAGTTAACTTAGGTATTCAATTTTATTAAAAATTTAAAATCTAAAACTAGTTTGATTATACATCGAAACATTTATATCTTGATGTTTTTACCAACCCCAGTACTAAGATGTCGACAATATATATTGCTAATATAAAAAAGAAAACAACTCATATGATATGCAGCCAATACGACTTTAAAAGAATTACAAAATGAAAAAAAAAACTAACCTATGAATGAGGATACTACTATAAATAAATATTGTAAAATAAAAGAATAATAATTATTCAAACTCTTGTTGTAACACTAGATAATGCATCGTCACCCCCAAGTGGGATGATGAATATCCACAGTTCCAACTTGGAGAGAAAGAAGCATTTGATGTCAAACTGAGTGCCTTGATAAACACTTGCATAACTTGGTAGGAAGAAGAGATACAAGTAATGAATTAACTATTAAAGTTAATCCTTTCATGTATAACATGGCAACGGGTTTTCACATGCTAAGTCCTTTCATGAAATGTAAGATTGTGAATCAAGTATGTAGCAGAAGCAACATGCTTAATCTGAGTTTTCAAAAGCCATTGAGAATTAAGGAGTTATTTAAAAGAAAATAACACTTGCTGGAGAACTTTGAATGTATCGTAAAACTTCGAAAGGCGCTTTCTTATGGGAAGCATAAACAAACTGCTTGAGAGACTAAAGCAGAGAATAGGTATTAGGACATGTATACAAGGAGTTTTTTTGGAAAGATAAGTTTTAGAAAGAAGGGAAGGATTAAATTTTTATTTTAAATAAATATATTAAAATTAATATTTTAAAATAAAAATAAAATTTAATATATTAATTATGTATTTATTATCATAACTTTCTTAATTTACAATTAAAAATATTTTCTTTCCTCTTTTCATTTCTAAAGATTCTCTCCTAAACCTACTCTAAGAGGATTTAGGTGTGTGACATATTTAACCAGAATAGAACTTGATTTGGCCGCAAGCAAACTAGTGTCTTCCAATAATTTAGAATAAATTGGCTTTAGATCTTGAAATTTCTAATCCCAAAAAGGACCATAGTTGCCTAGTTGGCCTAGATCATTAACGTTGAATTGATCATTGAAAAGAGATGTCACCCTTTAAATCTCTTCGAACTATGCCATCCACATAGATTAATAAGAATGTAAATGACGTATGACACTTCACAAATAGAGAGATTAGTAGCAAATTGTTTGTGGCCAAGAGAAACAAGAGCTGAAGACAGTTTGAGGGACCACTTACTAACTTTTTTTTAATATTATGAATAGACTTTTTTAAAGAAGGTGCTTAATAGGTTGAATTTTGATACAGACTCTAAAGCATAAAAATACAAAAAAGAAGAAGAAGAAGAAGAAGGTTGTATTGTGTGTTTAAGAAATTTTGGCAAATAAAAACTTTTCTAAAATTACCAATAGTGCAAATGTAAGGTGAAAAGGCTACACACAAATGGATCGTTTGACAAACAAACAATTCTTTCCTGACAGAAAATTTGCACTATTGTAAATTTTCTAAAAACAAGATCATGTCTTTGGAAAACAAAAGTGAAAAAATGGCATGTACTTCAATGGTTCAAGTAAAGTTGTGACTACATAAACCATTAAATAATAATCTTTGATTTAATAATTTAAATAGTATGTGCTCGGAGATCATTTCAGACCACTTGTAGAACAAGTTAAAATAAATAAAATTAATTAAATTATTTATAATTCTCTGTGTTTCCCCTTCTCTTTTTTCACAGAAGAACATCAATAGAATAAGAGAAGAAAAAAACACTAATATTTATATTGATTTACTCATAACTATTGAAAGCTTTAATTAACTTTCTCCTAACTTGATTTTAATATAATTTGACCTAACTTGGGTTTTTATACAGAAAAGGTGAATTTTTTATTACTTAAATTGAGTATAATATATTTTAATCATAAAGGCTGACAAATAATTTGACTTAGTTTTATCTCAATTTAGAAGCACATGATATAAAACACTAAATATACTTAATACTTTTTATTACATAAAAAATAATATAAAATTTTAATTAATAAATGTTATCTAAAAAAAATGATTGATTGTTTAAAAATATCATTAAAAAAGTTGTTATTTTTTGTTATATATTTTTAGTTTTATTAACATCAATGGTTAAAAATAATTAAAAATATATATATATATATATATATATATATAATGTTTAATATATTTTCAGTAAAATTTGATTTTTAATTATTTAGTTAGTCTTGACAAAATTCATTTATTTATTGACGCCATCAAGTTGAAGATTAGTGTCCACTGAAGCTAAAGGTAATTAATTTGCATCCCATCATGAAAGGTAATAATGGTAACAAGGCATGAAATATGGTGCAAGTGGACCCTTTGCTTCTATGCACCCCAACCATTGTTGTCATTAAGAATGATTGGTGTCTATGATAGCAACATCCAAATTTGTCATGGCTGTCTTAAATGTGAATACTCCACCATCCTCAGGGTCTAGTCTTGGTTTTACCTTTCATTGTTTAGTGTGCTGCTTTCTCTAACTTCAATTTTGTTCATTTTCCCACATCATAAAAAGGAAACATTATCTTTTTCTTTAAATGCATTTTTAATCACTCAAAATATATTTCATTTTAAAATTTTTAAAAATATTTTTAAGTTTTTTATAATTTTAAAAATTATTAATTTGAGATCTTAACTACTGTCAGATGATGTAATATAATTCACTCAAATATTAGTCTGTGTTATAAATTTTGTATTATAGGTTTCTTTTTCATCAAATCAAGTAAAAAAATTAAAATAAATATTTTTTAATAATATAAAAACTATAAAATTTAAAATCAAAATACCATATATTTTAAAACTATACAAATAAATAATTTTTATTTTTTTAACTACTAAATATTCTATCAACTTGTGCAATTCAATATAGTTTAAATTATCATTTTGTTAAGTTTATTCCCCAGGTTCTTTTTTACATATGCCAAATTTTTTTATTAATTTTTAATTAGTTATCTAAATATTTTTTTTAAATTTATTAATTATTTTTTAAATAAAGAGGTTAAAAAAATAAGAAAAAGAAGTTGAATATGTTTCAAAGAATTTTGATTTTTTTAAAAATAACTCCACAAATATATAGTTATATTTGATCCTTATTCCTTGACCACATTCAAGAATTTCACTTTTTGAAAAATTTATACACTAATAAACCTCATTAACTCGAGTATTCTTAATCAAACTTTTTCTTGCGTCTCTTACTCTTCTTTTTGCATAGGAGTGTTTTTTTTTTTTTAATAAATACTTTAGATTTACTTTAGATATTACCAAATATTAGTTAGACTTGATAAATTTTTCTCCTGCAAGGTTTCTTACATATGTATGCAAAGCTTTCTTCTATATTAGAATTGCTTTTTGTCTTTTTATCATCTTATTATATTTGTAAAATGCGAAAAATAGATAATTGTATTTTTATCTTTTACAAATAAATGCAACTATGTTATTTCTCTATGTTGTCATTGGACAATTTTTTAAATAATTTTTAAATTTTTAAATCTTTGAGTATATCTTTTATTGTATAAATAGAGTGTCCGCTTAACTCGACTACACTTAAATTGTTCTACATATAATATTAAAACACTTAAATAAATTTGTTAAAAATATCAAACAATTCATCTAAATAAAAAATACCTTTTATTTATTAAAATTTACAATTTTCATCTTTTGAATTTTTCTTTAATAATTTTTTTACTCTTTAATGAATATATATAATACAGGCAACAAGTCATTTAATTTATATCAATTGATAAATAAGTCGTTCAATAATATCAAACAAATCGTTGTTGTATTAGAGTAATTATGTCGAACAGAAATTCATATGTCCATGGTAACTTATATTATACTCTTTCATGAATACCATACTCTTAATAACTCATGCATGCAAATAAAAGTGCATAGTATATTTAAATTTTAAATACAGTAGAAAGGAATTTTGTAAACTTTGTCTCAATTTTTTTATTTATTCACTTAATAATAGGTTTATTTATTTAAAACTTTATGATCATTTTATTTTTAAATTTTATTGATTACATTGTTATATCACCCAATAACTCCACAACTAACAATGATTTATTATTTCACTGTTAAAAAAAATAAAAATAAAATAAATAAGGCCATACGTAAACATTTTAAAAAATATATTAATTATATTTCTTAATTTATATATTACTAATTTCAGCATAAAAATAAAGAAATGGAGAAAATAGTTCTAAAAAGTAAATGAAAAAAGTGAAAATATTATTAAAAATAGAAGAGCTAGTGCATTTTTTTATTATTGAATATTCTAATTTTAAAGTTGTAAAAATATGAGAATTTTTAAAATATTTAAATGTACACTGGATACGTAATGCAAGGATTTAAAGATGATATTTGACTATTTCCTTTTCTCTATTTTACATTTTGTCTGTCTAAGTTTAATGACTGTTTTATAAAACAAAAATAAAATTCACTTAAACAATATTATTTTTCTATTATTTTTAATATTTTATTAAATTATTATTTAATCAAAATATTAAAGAAAATTTATTTGATTTCACCAATGAATCTATAACTTACTGTTACTATAATTGAGTATTTATTTGTTAATAATTTATTACAAAATAAAAGGCAAAGATTTTTTATAAAAAAATTATTAAGATGAATTTTTCATAAAAAATATAATAATTTTTAAAAAAATGATATAAAAGTCTTAAGTTACTTTCTATCTTTAACCAAACATTTTTTATTTGAAGCAAAACATCTTTATTTTTTGTTACCTTAGTACTTATAAAATAAGTTCAAATGAACTCCATAAAACATCTTCTAAATCCGTAAGTAATCGACAATCTATACATTCTCAACAAGAATTAAAATTGGTACCCCAAAAAAATATATAGATACCAAAAAAAATTCCAACATGACGAATATTAAGAAGTCACCGGAAGACCGGCGCTTCCTGTTTATGAGCCAGTTCAAGAAGCAAAGGTCGCAATATATCTTTCCATAACAATTCGCCACATCCCACTCTTTCACATCTCTTCACTTCAATCACCACCAGCTCATCCGTTAACCGGTAAACAACAAGAAGAGCAAGCAAATTACCGTCTTGCCCTTCCAACTTGGCTTCACCACCATTCCCCATCCTCTTCACCACCACCCCGGCATCCTTCGCAACCTCTTCAACCTTCCCCATGATCCTCTCCGGTTCCTCCCCTGAAATGACCCGCTCCACAAAATCCGACCCGTTTGGATCCTCAAACAAACCCGACATATCCAACCCGGTCGAAAACGATATCAAATCAAACGCGTTCAAAGACTTGAACCCGGTTCGACTCTCCTCACACTCGCACTCCTTAAGCAAAACCCGGTCGACCCGGTACTCACCTCTTTTAAACCACGTGTCTTCAAAGATCTCATCAACGGTGATCCTTGTCTCGGGATTCGTGTCCAACAAACGCGATAAGAGCTTTCTCAGATCATGTGACATCCATTTCGGGAACCGAAATTGACCGCGGTAAATCTTTCTGTACAAAACCGTAATATTGTAATCATTGAAGGGTAAATACCCTGCTGTGAGAGCGAACAAAACGACGCCGCATGACCACACGTCCACCTTGGCACCATCGTAACCTCTCCTCGCCAGAATCTCAGGTGCCACGTAAGTAGGGGTCCCACAAACTGTGTGTAACAGCCCGTCGGGTCGGATCTGATCCGTAACCGCGCTTAACCCGAAATCCGACACCTTGAGGTTCCCGTTCTCGTCCATCAAGAGGTTATCCAGCTTCAGGTCACGGTGGAACACGCCACGGGAGTGGCAGTGCTTCACGGCAGAGATGAGTTGCCGGAAGTACCGCCGGGCGAGGTCCTCGGTGAGCCGTCCTTTTCCGACCTCGTGGAAGAGTTCTCCGCCGGCGGCGAACTCCATGATGAAGTAAATCTTGGTCTTCGTGGCGAGGACTTCAAAGATGTTAACGATGTTCGGATGGTGAAGGTGGCGCATGATGGAGATCTCGCGTTCCACGTTGGCGGCGAAGCCTCCATTGAGGACCTTGTGTTTGCTCACGGCCTTCACCGCCACGCTCTGGCGCGTGTCCACTTGCGTCGCGTGGTACACTTTGGCGAATGCACCAACGCCTAGTAACCTCTGTAGTTCGTATTTCCCGAACAAAACGACGCCGGACGGCACCTCAAATTCTTTTGTCGTGGATGCCTCTGTTTCTGTTAATTCTTTTAAAACGGCATCGTTCTGTGGCTCTCTCATGGTTGAAACAAGAAACAAATTAATCTAAATAACTCAACGGTTTGGTTCGATTCACGTGACTGAGTTATTGAGAGTATAAATTGAAGTAGATTTGCATTTGTGTTTTGGGTTGCGAGAACAGTAATTGAATTTGATATTGTAGAGTTTGTGAATGGATTTGCATAAATCTTATCGTGTAAGGAACTTTGAGAACCACACGCTAAAAGGAATGAGTGGAATTGAAGTGTTTTCGAGACAAAGAAAAAGAGGAGCAATCGATGTGGTGTAGTTGAGGATGGTAAAGAGAGTGGCTATTTAAAGATGTTAACCCTTTCTATTTCGACCTTGGATGGGGCTGTAAAGGAGACAACATGGTTATTATTATTATTTTTATTATTATTACAAACAGATTTAGTGATATTGGTGTTATAATCACTATCGTGTACAGTGACAGCAATAGCATGGTTAAGGGACTACGTTATAAACAAGAATGACAGTACTACGGCTTGAATATAAGTTTGGTGTTTATGGTGGCCAAACAAGGTTTAATGATGCATGGAAAGTGTGAGACAGGGAGTGCTGACTGAAAATCCATGGTGAATCGACACACAGAAGATAAGTATTAAGTATAGATGTGGTACGATGGTACAACACTATCGTTTGTCTGAACAATGAACGTGAACCTCGACTACCAACTTGAGTATTATCCATGCCTTTTATTGTAACAAATACAAAACAATTTAAAAGACAAAGTGAGACCAAGCTAGCTCACTAAATATTTCTTTAAAATAGCCTTTTTTTTATTTGTATTTATAAATTCATTATTGTAGAAGTACACGAATTTTATATATAGTATTAAGGTCTCAATTAATTCCGATTTAATGATACCATTTATCAAAGTAAAAAGCAAAAAATTACAATGCGAAGCTTACTAGATATTTTTTTTTATCGATATATAGTAAATTACAAAAATTACCACATATCGATTAATGGATATATTAAAAAATATTTTTTATTTATTATTATTTATATTAAAATAAACAATAACGTTAAAAATTTTAACGGAGAACAAGTCAAATCATAAACATAAGATGATTTATTGAACAAGAGTACTAATAATTTTACCTTCTTTGTATATGTACACTAAACCGACAGATTATAAACAAAACAACACAAGAGCAATTTATAATAATTATGTGCGTTTGAAAAAATGGCAAGAGAAGTTATTTTAATATTTTTCATAAATTTAAATTAAAACTTATCAATTAAAAAAAAAACTAAAAAATATATCGCAAACTTTTAAATACTCAAACTGGGGTACGACAATTTGTTTTTTTTATTTTTTATTGTCATTTAATTGATGGGTAATACAGTTCTAGTAAAGAACGTGTGCATAACATGTTGGTGGAAGTAACATTACACCGACTAATATATATGAAGCATCTAAAACATAAGTTGGTCAAGTAAACTAATAATGGCCAGATAAGAAAGAAGATATGTTTCATGAGTTTATTTTTTCCCATCATCTTCTTCAAGCAACAATGATTCTAGTAGATCTTATGCTATCTTATATGCATATTTCAAATAAAATATATCTAACATCTCTCTCTCAATATCATTTGCTAGCAAGCTAATTAAATTTAGCAAATTTTACAAGTTTTTAAAGTGTAAGCTTTAAATTATAAACAGTAATTCATAATTGAGTAAAATTATTGAAATTAAATAATTTAATGATAGATATATATAATTTATTTATTTATTTTTGGTCTTTATTTGAATATATCTTTATTGATATATTGTGACATTAAGAGGAAAAGAATTGGTAGGATATGAAAGCTAATGAAGGGTTATGGCAATTTGGTATTATTAATAAAAGACAAAGAGGCAAAGATGTTGCACAAAAATAGTTTATCAGCGAATTTAATGGGATGATTATTGGGCCTTCCTATGGGTTAGACGAGATTAATCACGTATTGAGTAAGAATTAGACTTCTTTCAATCCAATGATGTTATCGAGGTGGTGGTGCAGGAAATAATTAATGTTAGGAGTACATTTTGCAAGGCGAGGAGAAAGAAACATGACTCCAAGTTCTGTACATGGTCTAAATCTATGAAAAATAATTCTACAATGGGATCAAAGCTTAGGCCAATATTTAGGACATGTCGCAGAAATAGAGTCGAAGCGAGTCTATTTTCACTCCTTAGGCACAACAAATTTTAGGTAGGGAAGAGAGGGAATTGGCAGAAAAAATATTCTGAATTGGAGAAGATGTGAGTTTGGTGGTACATGGGAATTCTACAAAGGTGATTAATAAATTGGTTGAGATGGAGGCAAGGGATAGGTGAGAGGCGGGTAACGAAGGGGGGGTGTCATTGGTTATCAATGAAAGTCCTAACATTTAATATCTGGGGGTTAGGGGATCGGTTGACTTGCTGCTTGTGGGAAAGAAATTCACTTAGATGTGTGGGGCAACAGAGTAATGAGTAGACTAGACAAGGTGATGATCTTGGAGGATTGACGTGACGTGTGAGAAAATGCAGTGATTCGAGTCTTACTAAGAAACTTATTTAATCATTGCCCGTTTTTGTTAACGAATAGGGTGAATGACTGAGGTTCAAAATCTTTAAGTTAAATAATTGCTGGATAGAGCATGTCATTATTCGCAAGGTAGTTAAAAAGGAATGAATGACAATGTTAGTGAGTCATGGGCAACAAAGCACATTAAGAGAATGTTGACTAATATTAAAATTGCCCTTAAGAGGTGAAACCGAGAAGTGTTTGGATAAGAAATTTTTTGACATGTCGTTAGAACTTGTATGTTAGATACGAAAAATAAAATTAAAGACTTGTAAGGGGAGGAGGCAAATTAGCATAAATATATTCTCTTGGCACAACAGACAAGCAAGAAGTGGTCCATGGAGGGTATCTGAATTCTCAATACTTTTATGCTTGGATTAGAAGACAACGACATAATCAAATACTAGCACTAGAAGTAGGAAATAGGTAGTTTGAAAATGTAAACGAGATAAAATCTTATATTCTAAAATTTTTCTGTAATTGCTTTGTCACTTATAAATAAGTCAGACCAACAATTGACAATATTACTATGACGATCATATCAGATAATTAGAGGGAGGAATTTAAGGAGGCTTTCACTGTATGTAATAAATTAAAACCTAATATTTGTATTAAAAAAATATAATAAAAATAATATGATAATTTACTAAAAATGAGAACATAAAATATATATCTTAGTTTTTGTATTAAAACCTTAAAGTAATAAATTAAAAAAAAGGGAAATTCTGTGTTGCAATCTCGTAATTTTACTTTTAAAAGCAAGTACCTGCAATTGTCTTTATTTTAAATGATGTAATCAATTTAAGTAACTTAATACGTATAGTATTTGAGTATAAATATTTGTCATAGTTTCAGTTCCATATAGCTGTATGTACATTAAGAGAAACCGTATTTTTCATGATCAAATTGACATTTCATTTTCAATTGAACTTAGCAGAAATTATATAAAAGGTTCCAAAGTTCATTTTTGACTGCTTTGTCTTTGATTATCAGGTTCAGCTAAAACAAATAAAAAAAATGAAAAATCTATATAAGATATGATACAGTGACATCAATCATCAAGATAGAAAGAATAGATTTCGATATCCAACGAGATTCAAACTTGAGTGGTCCTTAAGAACCCTAATTTATCGACGTTCGTACGACAATGTGTTTCATATATTACACTCCGCAGTTTCGTGGAAGCTAGCATACAAGAAAAATACAAACGGAGGGTTCACATGTAACCAAAAGGCTAGTCATAGTCATGCATAAGAAAAATGTCTTTTGAATAAATACAAACAAATCAAGTACGTGTTGTTTGGTTTTGTGAACCACATATACTATACCAATTCAATTGGTTCATCATACTGAAAATTAAAAATAAAAAAACTAGATTTTTGAAAGAACATCCTTTTATTTACCCTGTGCTTGTTTTATCCATTAAAATGAAACAGAAAAGTTGCTTGGTCATAAATAAATAAATAATATAAGAATTACCCACATAAATTTCCCCACCTCTCATTCAATCCTATTACAAGTATTGTACGCTAGCTACGTTACATGGTGCCAGAGCTGAGACTTAATTAAAATTCAAAACAAATTAATCATCAATTTGACAGGTAGAGAGCTCCCATAAAAAAAAATTGTTTCAAAGTTTATTTTAAAAGTCACGTCAGGCAACTGAAATTTAGACTTCTCCTAGAAAGATCACACGTGTGGGGGCTCATCCTGTTTCGTTCGTTTTTTCTTTAAAAAAAAACTTATAAACTATTATATAGACCTAAATTAATCATAGTTACCTTAAAAAATGTAACTTTATTTTTTCAATAATATTTAAATAATTATAAATTTAATTAAAAATATAAAATATGTTACAACTAGGACCGTAATGATAGAAAATGAAAATAAAAAAAAATAATTATTAGCATCTCACAGTAGTTATAAAGATGATTATTGTAATTGTGTAAAATATAAAGTATTTATTTTATTTCTTAAATTATGTTATTTGATTTATTATAAAATATTATGATTTTTATAAATTTTAAATTTTAAAATCAAAGAAAAAAAAGAGAATATATTTTTTTAAATAATTAAGTCTGACAAGTTTTATTTTTTATTATTATGTATTTTTAGTGCCATAGGAAATCAGTTTTACGTAGTTTGGAAAATAAAATTTTTTCGAGTGTAAAATTCAAAGTAAAAAATTTATTGAAAAGTTGAAAAAATATTAAAAATAAAAATATCTTTTAAAAAAGTTGTAAGAAAAATTGGTTAAAATCTTTTTGAAAAAGAATATTAAAGTGTGTTATTTTTTTATGATAGTAATATAGGAATTATATATGATAATTGAATAATTTGTAAATTATAAATTAATTTATATATTATAAATTTAAAAAATTATAAAAAATAAAAGAAAGTTTAATATTTAAAAAAATAAAATGTGAGATAATTCACATACTCAAGATACTAAATAGTTTAGCTATACTGATATTTTTATAATTTAATAACATGTAAATAATAGAGTAATTTATAAATTATTTTTATAAATTGTTGCATAAATTAAAACTAAAAAAATAAGTTAGAGTAAATAAAATAATGTTTACTCACTTTAAAGAAATTTATATATTTAATTTATAATAAGTGAATGATAGAATAATTTATACCCTGCTGTATTACAGTAGTACACACATTTTCATTTATTAGATGAGATTGTAAAATTATTTTAATTTATAATTTAAAATTAAAAAAGTGAATAACAACGTTGTGT